CCCCACCCTCCACAGCCCCTCCAGACCCCCCACTCCCCTAGCCCCACCCTACACAGCCCCTCCAGACCCCCCACTCCCCTCGCCCCACCCTACACAGCCCCTCCAGACCCCCCTCCCCAAACCCCACCCTACACAGCCCCTCCAGACTCCCCCACTCCCCTAACCCCTCCCTACACAGTCCCTCCCCAGGGTATGGGGAACATGGGAGTAATACTGGTGGGGCAGCAGTTGTGGGGTGGTGGGCATAATACTGGGGGAGGGGCAGGTTGGCAGAGGGAGGGTCCGTGTAATACCGGGGGAGGGGTGGGTGGGTGCAGGGTGGGCGGGAGTAATACCAGGGGAGGGGCAGGTGGCCACGGTAATGCGAGGGAGGGGTATGTCCATGGGGGGGGATGTGTAGGTGGGGGCTGGGGAGGAGGCTGCCTCCTTTGGATGTTAATCGTGAAGTGCACGTCGCAGCCACAGTCGCCGTGGCCCCGGGGGAGTTTGCCCTGCGTAGCGGCACCGTTCCTTACCCACTCTCCTCCGCATGGCTCCTGGGTTTAGACATTAGACCCAGTCCAGCCAGGAGATCGTCCCCCTCGCCCGCTGCCCCAGCACAGGAAGTGCTGTGAGCCCCGCTGCCTGGGCCCGGGCCTGGGAACGAAGCTCGGGTCTCCACTCGAGCTGGTGGTGGGAGTGAGGCTTATGGGTCAGTTAAGCCCCCCTCCCTTTTTTTACATTGAAAAGTTGAGCTCACAGGCCAGGAAGTCAAGTCATGGGCATGTGATCAGAACGCCTCGGCCTCTGTAGGGTCATTGTGATTTGGGGCAGACGTGGCCCCAGCTCAATGCTATCCCTGCAGCCTGCCCTTGGTGCGACGGGAGAGGTTCCAGCCTTTTCCCACAAGCCTCGGCTCCTTCCCAAAACGCCGCTGACTTTAGGCCTGCAATTTCTCACACTAAAGCCAAGTTTCCTGAAAGAACCAGAAAAAGCCCAGGGCTGGGTTCTGGGAAAGCCGAGCAGGGTCCTGGCGTGTTTTCGTGCTGGGAAATGGCTCCGGTATGTTTCTGGGCTCCCTACGCGAACAATTCCAACCTACCCTGCACAGCACCAGCTGAGAATAGGTTTCGAATGGACAAAGTGTTAGAAAACGGCATACGCTCCCCTGGCCAAGGAATGCCAGGCCTTAGGAGGCCCCCTGCAATGAGCACCCACCTTTAGCCGGGACTGGATCGAGATGTTCCGCTGGGCCTCCCGGCTCCGGTAGTGTCCCAGACCCTCCAACTTGTCCGGGCGGTAAAACACCCCCGAGGCCCATTTCAAAGCAGCGCCTCTTGCTAACTTCTCAGCCTTCTCCGCTTCTGGCCATTCCTCATCTAGGGGCAACGTTCTCCGTTAAGAAAACAAACCGGAGGCAGCGTCTCCTTCGCAGACAGGAAGAGCATTTCCACTCCAGCTGCTTCCCCAGGACGGAGGCGCAGGAAGCGGGGTGTGAACGTACACCCGCCTGTACACACGGACATGGGGACAGGGACAGACAGGCAGACACACACGAGCGCTCAGCTACCACCATGGTGAGAGACCTTATAAAATCCTAGAAAAGTGCGCGTAAGGCCAGCCAGACGCACAGCAGGGGACGGGGACAGACAGACACACGTGTGGACAGGCACACTCTAGGAGGGATGGACACATACACATGGGGACAGCCAGACGGAGTTGTCAGCTGTCCTTCAGCCTGCCTGTGTGCCCAGCCCTACTCCACACAGCCCCTCGAGGCTGCCCCAGAGCTCGTGCTCCCCATGTGATGGCTGCACAGAGCGTGGCGGTGCCCCGTGCCGGGGGTTTGCTGTCTGGGAGCCTCTGATAAGGGCCCGCGAGCAGGGCAGTGACTCAGCAGGAAAGATACAGCCGCGGCTGGCAAGGACTTAGTGCCCAAGCAGGGAACGCGGCAGGCTGGGGTCAGTCCAGTCCTACCCACCGGGCATGGAGCCTGCCCCTCCCCCGGCATCGCCCACCGCTGCAGCCGGTTATAGCCTCTCCCTTGAGTACCTGTGCCAGGGAGGGGCAGCTGAGCTGAGCTAGGAACAAGGCGTGCCCTGAACGCTGCCCACCCCCAGCTCCAGCGGGGGAGAAATGCGGTTCCCCGAACCGGCCTAGATGCAGGTTGGAGGGTGCATGGCCCCGGGTGTCTCCTAACGACCCTGGTTCTGTGTGCCTGACTCAGACGGGGTCTGGGAACCAGAGCAGCCCTCCCCAGGTCCTAGCACCCTCGTCTGCGGAGCAGCGCAGCCCCAGCTGGGGACCCTGCCTGGCACCTGCCCTCTTCTTCCCCAGACTCGGTGCTGGCTCTGCTGTCACTTCCATGCCCCCCCATTCGCCAGCAGCTCCCCCCGCGCAGCGGCTGTGGGATTGTCAGTAGTTATTGACACGGTGCCCACGCCTAGCGGCAGGGCTCCCCGGGGCTGGGTTCTGGCCCAGGAGACTGGGAGAATGGCAGCCCAAGGGCCCGGGGGCAGGAGGAGATGGATTTGTGAGGAAAGCGAAAGAGCTTTGGGACAAACCGGCTAACACGGGGCAGAGGTGGCTGCAGCTTGCTGCCGGGTGGGAGCGCCGCGCAGGCCGAGGGGTTATTCACAGGGTCGCAGGGCTGTGATTAGGGGCAAGGGGATGACGGGAAGGAAGGACACAGGCTGGCTACTGAGGAAAGCTGCTTGCCAGTGAGGGGGCGCCGGGCTGTGGAGTCTCTTCCCAGGGGAGCCTCAGTCCTGGGACATTTAAATAACACTGGCCTAGCGCCTCAACACTGCACTGTAGGAACAGATGCTTTGCCCTATAAGCCCCCCGCCCCATTCCATCACTCTCTTCCCACGGCCAGGGCACAGGCAGCGATCCTAAACATACCCAGCTGGCCGGCAGGGGAGATGTACCCCCCCCCCAGGGGCAGGGGATCACCCCCATCCTCACTGCAAAGGGGCAGGAGAGCCCACCCCACCCCGGCTGTGAAAGGATCCTGGCCAGGGACAGATGACTGAGAACCCCCCCAGACTTGGAGCCAGGCTTCATCCCAGCGCAGGGAGTCACCCCGGTCCCTGCGTGAGCCCTGCGCCCCGCTGCCCTCCCTCGAGCTGCAGTTCTCATTACCTCTGGGGCTGCGGGAGTCCTCCTCCTGCTCTGCAGACATGCCCATGGCTCCAGCCGCTGTGTGCAGGGTTCAGAGGACAGGGCTGGGCTGAAGAGAGGAAGCACAGCCCGCAGTTTCCTTCAGTGATTCCACTCACAGCTCCTCAGGGGCTCATTGTGTTACTGCAGACACACTCAGGATGTCGGAGGGGGGGGAGCGGGGAAGGGGGAGGCAGCTAATGCTCTTGACATTTTTCACTCTTTGTGAATGTAAATCGTTCCATGCACAGTGTCTGTCTAGGTGCGTACTTGTGTGCATAGCTGTTTGTGCATGCCTGGGTGTGCATGTCTGGGCGTACATGTCTTTGCATGGCAATGTGTGCCTGTCATGTGCGCATGGCGGTGGGTGTGCACACCACGTGTGCTTGGCTGTGTGTGCATGTCTGGGTGTGCAGGGTGTTGTGGCTGCCTTTGCAGAGGTGTGTTTCCTGTCATGTACCATGTGCACCTGTATATTTTTGTGCATGGATCCGTGTTCCTATGTGTGTAAGTCCGTGGTGGATGTCTCTCCAGTTCCCTTATGCCTGCTACGTGCTGTTGCCATATGCTTGTGTATGTGGCTGCCTGAGTGTACAACATGTGTGCATCTGTCTGCGAGTGGCTGCCTCTGTTCATACCACATCTGCGGTGTCTTGGAGCGGGCCTGCGTTCATACTCTATGGGCATGTGTCTGCACCACTGGCTGCTTGTGTGTATATTGTAGTCCACCACAAAAACCTGCCTAGCATGGAGTTCAGGTTGCTGACATCCATCCCAAAATAACACAGATACAGGGAATCCCAAGGTAAGGGTCTTTCACCAGCTTGAGAAGTCACTTTGGGAACAGGAGCTGTTCCCAACCTGCTCTCAGAGTCCAAACCCACCCCCTTCCCAGGGTTTGGTTTTATGAGCATGGAAATGAACAACAATACAACCTTCTCCCCAGGCTGGGATGCTCCTAGAGTTCCTCCCTCAATCAAAACTGCTCAGCTCGCACCCTAGATCCTCTGTCCCCACTGAGCCACTCCCATCTCCTGGATGGAGCAATGAGTCGCCTACCTCTGTGAGTCAGCAGGACTCATTTAACCCTTTCCCAGAACCCCTGCTAACTAGGCACGGTGTTTCAGGCAATTCTGGAGAATTACATCTATATCACCACCCAAAATAATTACAGAAAGGGAAAGAAGAAATGTAGAAGGCCTATTGCAAATATGTACAACAATGCCAACCAGAAATATCTGACTTACACTTTTTGCATGAACTGTAAAGATACCTTTATACTTCAGAGATTGTATTTCGAGCTATCCCACTAAATACATAGCATCACCCAAACACAATACAGTATTCCTCTGGAGCAAACAGCGCTCATTAGGATAATTGCCCAACTCTACATCTGACACAGAAACTTGTCAACCAGACCTTAAAGTGCAATATTCTTTTACAAAATATAAAACTGGACACAGTTCCTAGATTTGTAGATCTTAGGAGCAGAAAGGATCACATGGGGTCCCCTTGTTGTCCTTCCTGCATCACACAAGGCAAAAAAAAACCCAAAAAATGTAACTTGTAATTCCTGCATGAAGCCCAAGAATTTGTGGTCATCTCAGGAAGCCAATGAGTTTTGATGGAAATGTTTTCAGTGATGGAGAATCCACCACTGAAATGGCAGGTCGTTCTAATTATTAATTCCCTTCACTGTTGTGTGTCTTATGTCCAGTTTGAATTTGTCTAGTTTCACTTCCAGCCACTGGATTTCGTTCTGCATTTATCTGCTAGATTAATGAGCTCCCTGCTTTCAGAAATCTCCCCATGTAAGTACTGACAGACAGACCATGAGCACGTCACCTCTTCATCTGCTTTTTGATAAGCTACATAGACCAAGCGCCTTAAGCCTCTCACTATAAGACATGTTTCCAGTACTCTAATTATTTTTGCAGCTTTTTCTGAACCCTTCTTGAAATATGGACACCAGAACTGGACACCATGATAGTCCTGTTTATACATCCAAGAATCGCCTTCGTCCTTCTTCCCTGTTTGTGAGCAGCAGGTCAGGAAGAGCTCTGCCCCTAGTTGGTTCCTCCAGCACTTGCACCAGGAAATTGTCCCCTACATGTTCCAAAAACTTCCTGGATTGTCTGTGCCCCGCTGTATTGCTCTCCCAGCAGATATCAGGGTGATTAAAGTCTCCCATGAGAACCAGGGCCTGCGATCTAGCAACTTCTGTTAGTTGCTGGAAGAAAGCCTCGTCCACCTCATCCCCCTGGTCTGGTGGTCTATAGCAGACTCCGACCACGACATCACCCTGTAAACAGTTTGCTTCATACAGGAAACTTTTATCAGAGTAAATCACACCCTGGAGCTCAGCTTGTACTTCCAAAACTTTGCCAGGTGCCAGATGTGCTCCAGGACCAAGAGCTGACATGAGACCAAACATGAAATATCCAAGGTGGACATCACTAGCCCTAATCCCAAAGGTGTCAATCCGAATATGCAGTGGCTGTGAGGTCACAAAAACCAGTATAGAGATGACAAAAGCTACCCTGGATCCAAGGGGAAGACTTATTTGTGATCTTGGTAGCATGCACTTGTTTCAATAAGCTTGGTTTGTCAAATACTTCCCAGTGTCTGGAGCCAGATCTGGACTCTGAGGGGACTTGGTTATACATACCCACTGAGGAGCAGTGGCGGATTAATGATTTTGCCGCCCCTAGGCCCTGAAATAATTGCCGCCCCCGGCCCCATATGAACTTGTTTTAGTTTTTTTACAAATTGGTTTGAACTAAAATGAATCTAAATAGCATTAAAATAATTGAACATTTACAAGTTTTATTATAAATAAAATTACAAGTACAGCGGCCCCTCGCTTGAACGCGTGTCTGGATAGCGCGATTTCACGTGTAGCCCGGGACCGCGCATGGATCCAAAACTGAGAACTGCTTCATTTCTTCCTTCCAGTCATATTATTAACGTTTAGGATTCTCGCGCGTATGTTCACTAAATGGCGTCGCGCCGTCATTGGTGGTTTCAATACGCACTAGGACTGGTAGAATCGAGGCGTCAGTGACAGTGAGGAGCTGTGAGGGTATCACTGCTGCCTCCAGGCTCTGGTTCAACCTGTGACAGACTAAGCTTTGCAGGGACTCAGCCGTGAAGGTTGTTTTGCTTGGTACCAGCTACATCACAATACCATGGCGAAACACCTGCTCAGGCTGGCAGCTGTGCTTAGTTGTCTAGAACAGTGCATAGGGTCGGAGGGAAGCAGGCTAACTAACGGTGCATTGAATATCTGAGACACACCTAGAGGCTTATGTGTTGCACGGCACCCAAATGCTGACAGGATTCCACTCTGGCTCAGGCACCTGAAAAAACTCCCTGAACTTTGATGATTTTTATGTCCAATAAATTACTTTTTGGAAAGCCCTTTAACTACGTCTTGCCAGTTATTCTGGGGAGACTGGCGCTGGAAATGGTCTAAGGAGCGTGGGGTGTTTATGAGAAATACAGATGACAGCTATTAGGTGATAATGTGTTGATCAACTGCAATACTCACAAAGCACCCTGCCTAGCATGGGAAGCATCACAGTGCTTAATGGGGCTGTGAGATCACAGCGATGGAAGATGGCCAGAAAAACCAAAGCATTTTGCCTCTAGGTATGTAATGATTAGTGAAAAGAATCATGTACCAGGGCTGGGCTGGGAAAACAACAAAAACTGTATTTCCAAATACTGGGCCAGATCTTCAGCTGGTGTACATCAGAAAAGCCCCATTGATTCCAATGTATTTATTTTATTTGAAAAATGTCAAGAGATCTGTTTCTATTTGTGAATCCTCCCTCAGCTTGTATAAGACAGAGGCATAATTTACAAAAGTGTTAAATATTTTTTTTAGGGCTGTCAAGCGATTAAAATAATTAACCGTGCGATTAATTGCACTGTTAGCGAATAATAGAATACCATCTATTTAAATATTTTTGGATGTTTTCCACATTTTCAAATATATTGATATCCATTACAACACAGGATACAAAGCGTACAGTGCTCACTTTATATTTATTTTTATTACAAATATTTGCACTGTAAAAAACAAAAGAAATAGTATTTTTCAATTCACCTAATACAAATACTGTAGTGCAATCTCTTTATCATAAAAGTTGAACTTACAAATGTAGAATTATGTATTAAAAAAAACCTGCATTCAAAAATAAAAGAACGTAAAATTTTAGCGCCTACAAGTCCACTCAGTCCTACTTCTTGTTCAGCCAACCGCTCAAACAAGTTTGTTTATATTTATAGGAGATAATACTGCCCGCTTCTTGTTTACAATGTCACCTGAAAGTGAGAAAAGGTGTTTGCATGGCACTGTTGTAGCCGGTGTCGCAAGATATTGTGACAGACCCAGACCAGTGGGTTACAGGAGTCTGGTAGAGGGCAAATATACTGGTCACTGGATGAGTAGTTTTCTGTTCCCTGAGTGACCAGAGCAGGGGCTGCACTAGAGTAATCAGGAACCGGCTAGAACCAGTTAAGGCAGGCAGGCTAATTAGGACACCTGGAGCCAATTAAGAAGAAGCTGCTAGAATCAATTAAGGCAGGCTAATCAGGGCACCTGGGTTTTAAAAGGAGCTCACCCCAGTTTGTGGTGGGAGTGTGAGGAGCTGGGAGCAAGAGGCGCAAGGAGCTGAGAGTGAGAGGGTGTGCTGCTGGAGGACTGAGGAGCACAAGCGTTATCAGACACCAGGAGGAAGGTCCTGTGGTGAGAATAAGGAAGGTGTTTGGAGGAGGCCATGGGGAAGTAGCCCAGGGAGTTGTAGCTGTCATGCAGCTGTTACAGGAGGCACTATAGACAGCTGCAGTCCACAGGGCCCTGGGCTGGAACCCGGAGTAGAGGGTGGGCCCGGGTTCCCCCCAAACCTCCCAATTGACCTGGACTGTGGGTTCTCCCAGAGGGGAAGGTCTCTGGGCTGTTCCCCAACCCACATGGTGAATCTCTGAGGCAAGAAAATCCGCCAATAAGCGCAGGACCCACCAAGATAGAGGAGGAACTTTGTCACAATATTTACGTGCCAGATGCACTAAAGATTCATATGTCCCTTGATACTTCAACCACCATTCCAGAGGACATGCATCCATGCTGATGATGGGTTCTGCTCAATAACGATCCAAAGCAGAGCGGAGCAACGCATGTTCATTTTCATCATCTTAGTCAGATGCCACCAGCAGAAGGCTGATTTTCTCTTTTGGTGGTTTGGGCTCTGTAGTTTCCACATCAGAGTGGACTTTTAAGACTTCTGAAAGCATGTGCTGCACCTCGTCCCTCTCAGATTTTGGAAGGCACTTCAGATTCTTAAACCTTGGGTCGAGTGCTGTATCTATCCTCAGAAATCTCACATTCGTACCTTCTTTGTGTTTTGTCAAATCTGCAGTGCAAGTGTTCTTAAAATGAACAGCATGTGCTGGGTCATGGTCCGAGACTGCTATAACATGAAATATATGGCAGAATGTGGGTAAAACAGAGCAGGAGACATACAATTCCCCCGCAAGGAGTTCACTCCTAAATTCCCTCTAAGCTGCGAGGGCGGGTGGCTACGCAGCAGCCTATTAAGCGCCACGCAGGCGCTCAGGGCTGCGGCGGGGAGAAATGCCTCTCCCCCAGCCCCAGACCTGCCACAGCCAGGGGAGAGGCGCCTCTCCTGCAGCTCCCACCCAACCCAGCCCAGGTGCTGCTGCGGCGAGAGAGAGCTGGGGAGAGTCCTCTCTCCGCTGTAGCCTTGGGGCAGCCTGCACCCCAAACTCCTCATCCCTGGCCCCATGCCAGAGCCCTCACCCCCCCCGCACCCCAACCCCCTGCCCCAGCCCTGAGCCCCCTCCCATACTCTGAACCCCTCGGCGCCACCCCCGCCACATGGATTTTGTCATATGCACCAATATGGAGGTGATGTGTGACACATCACCTCCATATTGGTGCACATAACCAAATTCATTCCGCACATGCATGGGAAAAATTAGAGGGAATACCGGTTCAGTCACAAATTTAATTACCACGTTATTTTTTTTAACGAGCATCATCAGCATGGAAGCATGTTCTCTGGAATGGTGGCCAAAGCATGAAGAGGCATGTGAATCTTTAGCGCATCTGGCACGTAAATATCTTGCAACACCGGCTACAAGAGTGCCATGCAAACACCTGTTCTCACTTTCAGGTGACATTGTAAACAAGAAGCAGGCAGCATTATCTCCTGCAAATGTAAACAGACTTCTTTGTCTGAGCGATTGGCTGAACAAGAAGCAGGACTGAGTGGACTTGTAGGCTCTAAAGTTTTACATTGTTTTGTTTTTGAGAGCAGTTACGGTAACAAAAAAAAATCTACATTTGTAAGTTGCACTTTCATGATAAAGAGATTGCACTATGGTACTTGTATGAGGTGAATTGAAAAATACTATTGCTTTTATCATTTTTACAGAGCAAATATTTGTAATAAAAAAGATAAAGTGAGCACTGTACATTTTGTATTCTGTGTTGTAATTGAAATTGATATATTTGAAAATGTAGAAAACCATCCAAAAATCTTTAGTACATTTAAATTGGTATTCTATTGTTTAACCGTGCGATTAATCACAATTTATTTTTTAATCGAGATTAATTTTTTTGAGTTAACCACGTGAGTTAACTGCAATTAATCGACAATCCTAATTTTTTTTACAAAATTGCCAAAATCAGACTATTAATCTTCAATGAATATCATCTAGAAGAGCTCTAGGACAGTCAGGATTTTATGGTTTACTCTGTGTAGAAATGGTAAGGTGCTTATAACACGATGGGGAGGAGGAAGGAAGTCATAGGTACACGTACTGTTTTGAATGTTCTCTGATGGGAGTTCTAACTTTATGGCAATACCACTCAGTACAGGACAAGGCTCAACATGGGAGTCAGAAACAGGGGCTGGGCCCACTCTGCCCTTCCTATATTTCTAAATGGGTGGTGGGTCCTGGCCTGAGAGAGGGTCCAGGGAGGTTTGGAGGAGGGGGGGGGTTTCCTCATGTGGCAAAAGCTGAGAACCACGGGACTGATGGACTACACTAGCTAGAAACCTTAGCAGAAAGTTTGGTATTTCTGTATTTGGAGGAATAATAAAGCACGGTAGTTTCATAAGAGCAAAATTCAAGGTCGGCATCTTTTCTTACAGACAAAACCCCGTGTGTTCAATATACCACGCTCTGTATCCCTCTTAGGGCCTGGTCCAGTGCCCATCAGAATCAATGCGAAGACCCCCATTCACTTCAGTGGGCTTTGCACTGAGCCCTCAGTGACTCCCACAGATGCATACTCCTTCTCTCATGCTCCACCGCCTCCCACATTGACCCTCCCTCTCCCAGATGCACAGGCCTTAGCTGCACTGGGGTATTTTGCTAAAATTTCTCACAGTCCTTACCACTCACTGCTGGAAGAATTGGTGGGAGTGCTAAGGTAGACAAGATATTGGTGGCTCCTGGCATGTTAAGCACTACCATGTGGTCTATATCTAAAACGTAGGTTGATGTAGCAACATTGCTCAGGGATGTGAAACATTCACCTCACAAGAGACGTAGTTAAGCCCCCAGTATAGGCACTGCTAGGCTAAGGGAAGAATTCTTCCATAAACCTAGCTACCACCTCTCGAAGGGGTGGAAACCCCCCTTTTGTAACACTAGCAAGTGTCTACACTACAGTGGCGAAGCTGCAGCACTGCAGCGGTAGCTCTTATAGTGTAGACCGGGGTCGGCAACCTTTCAGAAGTGGTGTGCCGAGTCTTCATTTATTCACTCTAATTTAAGGTTTCACATGCCAGTAATACATTTTAACGTTTTTAGAAGGTCTCTTTCGATAAGTCTATAATATATAACTAAACTATTGTTGTATGTAAAGTAAATAAGGTTTTTAAAATGTTTAAGAAGCTTCATTTAAAATTAAATTAAAATGCAGAGCCCCCCGGACCGGTGGCCAGGACCCAGGCAGTGTGAGTGCCACTGAAAATCAGCTCACGTGCCGCCTTCGGCACGCGTGCCATAGGTTGCCTACCCCTGGTGTAGACGTACCCGAAATCATGTAGGCCTGCTCTGAGCAAGGTTAGATGACATGGTGATTGAAGTAATTCAGAGATTCCAAGGCCTGAAGGGACCATTGTGATCATCTTGTTTGATCTCCTGCATAGCTCAGGCCACAGGACTTCCCTGAATTAATCACAGACAGACGTGCCAGCAGTCCCTGGAGCCGGCTACACCAGCACTCTCACCGTCCTTAGCAGCAGCCAAACTAAACTAGAGGCAGCAACGGTGGAAAACTTTAGCAAGGAATTCCCAGGAACAGACACAGGCGTGTTGGAAACACGCACAGGCGCCTCTCGCCGTCCCCAAGCGGATCCCGCCATGGCGAGAGGTCCGTGGGGCCAGGACTCAGCAGCGCGGCTACACTCAATTTAGCCAGGCCTCGGGCCGACGGGGAAGGACAGGAGAAATATCAGCAGGTTTTGCTCTTTGGAGGCACTGGGGCAGTTCAGGCACCGGCACCAGTAACCTAGCGCAGCGGTTCCCAGGCAGGGGTACGCCGGGGGTCCATTGCTCGGCTAGAGATGTGCCCGGTTTTACACTAGGCTGCACAGAAAGCACCAGCGACGTCAGTGCCAGGGCCTGTTACATTGACGGCTGACACCGGCCTGGGGATCAGTGCCGGGGCCTGTTACACTGACGGCTGACACCGGCCTGGGGGTCAGTGCCGGGGCCTGCTACGCTGACGGCTGACACCGGCCTGGGGGTCAGTGTCGGGGCCTGTTACGCTGACGGCTGGCACCGGCCTGGGGGTCAGTTCCCGGGCACTGTTACGCTGACGGCTGACACCGGCCTGGGGGTCTGTCCCAGGGGC